CATGGGCATACCTAAATTCAAGGGCTTTCCCAGAGGTTTTAGAAATATGATATGGATGAATAGCTGCAATATCTATTATATCATAAATCAGAGCTAATTTAAATAAAATAATTTTATAAATTTTACTTCCCAAATTAGAAGAATGGAAACATTTAAGTCTCTTCTGAACTCAGAAACACAACAAAGTAAAGTAGACAAACCAACTCATTTCAACTCTTCTTGATCACCCCAGGAATGTGGAAAGATAGGTAATTTTCCCAAAATAATACTGGAAAAATGACAGAGCCTACATTTGAACCCAAGTCTGTCTGGCTCCAAGGCCTATTTCCTCACCATGGCATCACCATGTAGAGCAGACATGGAGCGAGGGAAGAAAGGAGAGGCCAAGGGCAAACTCCACGAGCATGAAGAAGGTGAGGCGGAATAGGGGGACAGGACAGCTCCCAAAGAGCGGCAGAGACTTCAAATAAGGAAGGAATGGTCAGTGGGGAGAGCTGGAAAGGGATTCAAGAGGGTGGGGGATAAGCAGCGTCCGCTGACCAAGTTCAACTGGGGCCTCCGCCGGGACGGGCGAGGCAGCTGCCAGACTGAAGCGGGTGAGCAGGGAAACGAAGGGAGGCACCACACTGAACATTCTGGACGTGAAGGGGGGAGAGAGGAAGATGACTAAGAACACACATGTTCAAGGGAAAGCAGTTTTGATTAGTTTTTCAGGTAGGAAAAACTGAAGCACATTTGAAAGTTTGTTTTCTTTTTAAAAAGGAAAAGGGCAAGACAAAGGCAGGGTCTTTGGGAAGGAAGGAAGTTATAATTGTATAAGACAGCTTATATTTACTGGGTGGAAGTCTTAACAATATAAAACAGCTTATATTTACTGATCCACTGCAAAAGGCCTGTCCCTGGACTAAGCAGGCGACATGTCTTAACGGATACATAAAGCCCCTCGTTCAGTCCAAGGCATGCCTCTGGAGCAGGTCTGCTGAGGACCACTGACTCGGAAATGGCAGCAACCTGGCAGCAGTAACCTGGGCAAGTAAACGGCAGGGCTGAGGTCTGAGCCCCAGGCAGTGGCCTCCAGAAACCACACTTATCCATCCACTCAGCTACCGTCAAGGCTGAGATAAGGGAAAGAACTAGAGGAAAGCCATTGTCTCTTGAGATAATCAAAAAGATAAAAGAGAGCGGAGCAGGGGAGATGTTTCTGTGTTTGGCCCAGGATGGGGTGATGGCTCCTAGGGGCAGAGGTGTGAAGGAAGTTCAGGAGGATGCTCTAAGTTTCAAGCATTTCTTCCATAAAGTCAGGACTCATTCTGATGGTGCTGTTTCTAAATAGACATTTTCAAGACTAGATTACTGAAATCTATATTGTCCTCTGTTTTAAAATTCAGACACTATATGGATAAAAATCCTAATGTGAGAAAGTGAAGTCTTAATTTGTATATTCTTTTCATATGAGAAGTCTCAGAAGTTATACAAAATAATAAAGGAACTATCATAAGCAAGGACCTAAGAGAACAAAACGAAAAATACATTATTGTACATGTATAACTAATGGACGTTAGTTATTTCTTCACTATAGGAAAAGCTTCTACGATTAATTAGTTTTTTCATTTATCCATTTATTGGACACCAACTTGTACCAGGCACCGGACATCATTCTAGGCTCAGAAGTTTCAGTGCTGAACAAAACAGATAAAAAACTATCCTCATGGAACTCATACCCTATTTGAAAAAGAAACATTAATTAAAAATAACATACAGCAGTGTGAGTACTACAGTGAAAAGTAACGCAGAGAAGGGGATGAGAGCACAGAGTGGCAAGAAGGGAACTGCAATTTTAAATAAGATGGTCAGCGTGCAACTGAGAAGACGACATTTAAGTAATTCTCAAAGGTGCTGGTGGAGGGGGACCCAACATACATTTGAGGAAACAATGGTCCAGGCAGAGGAAACCACCCAGGCAAAGGTGAGGTGGAACTGCGCCTACTGTTTACAAGCCACTGCAAAGAAGCCGGGGGAATCTAGAAGAGAGTGAAGGAGGGGAGACCAGGAGGTGAAGGTAAAGGGAGAACGAGTGGACGGGGATGCTCGGAGTTCCCTCAGCGACGACGGACAGCAGGGAAGGTATGCGTAGGATCTGAGCTGAAGTGTCACGATCTGAGTATTTTGAAAGCCTCACTCCGGCTGCTGTAGGAACGGTCAGGGGGTATCCAGGGCGGAAATGGAAAGAACAGCGAGGGGTGTGGACTCGCCAGCTGCCCCTCGGGTCTCCTGTCTGCGGTCGTCCGGCCTGACCTTCGCCCAGGACGCTGACAGTATGTATGACCTCACGCACCGCCGTGCCCACGGGCTGCCGGCTGGACTCAGCCAGCGGGGAGCGGGTGCAGAGGATGGAAAGGAGGAAGGAGTGAGGTCAGGGTTTTGTTTCCCGCGCGCCTCCCTTCCGGCCCCCCTGGGCTGGCCACTGCTCTCCGATGGAAGCCACAGCCCCCGCCGCACGGCTCTCTCCCCCGCCCTCTGCCTGGATGCTGGCAGCGGCTCCCTTCCGCGCAGGCACTGCTGATCCGTGAGGCCCTGCACAATCCTTTGTGAATAGTCCTTTTACTAAAAAGCTCCTGAAACTACCCCAGTTTAAGGGTGCCACCTCTTCCTGGCAGCACGCTTACTAAGTCAGGAGGCTGGGGCAACAGTCCAGGTGAGGAACAGGGAGGCTCAGACCAGGATGTTAGCAGCGGAACAGCGAGAGGCAGATTTTTAACTTGTTGACAAATCTAATGTCAAGCATGAGCCCAGATTTTGGCCTAAACCACCAAAAGGATGGAGTGTTGTCAACTGATTCATTTTTTTTAATTCACAAATCAATAAAAAGTATGTGCAAATATCAGGAAAAGAAGTAGTATGGCTTACAAATTCAAACTGCTTAGTCTTACAGTTAATTAAAGGAATGCAAATTAATGACAACATGAAACAGCATAATGTAACTTAATATATATTAGATACATATATAAGATACAATAATACTGTAACAATATAAAATTGACAAAGACTTAAAAATATGGTGATAATTGGTATTGGCATGGGCATCAGAAAACATAATTGGAAGGGTGTAAACCTTTGTGAAGAATAATTTGCAATCTATCAAAACTTTAATATACATATATTTTGATCTAAAATTCCCCTGCTAGATAGGGCTTTATCCTACACACATACTCACTCATATTCACACAAATACCAGTTACAAGATTTTAACTATAGCAGTGTTTATAGTAACAATAGACTGGGAACAACCTAAGTGTCCATCAATAAGAAATACACATGAAATAAACTGGGCTACACATACAATACTATCAGTCACTTACAATGAGGTTAATTAATAAATATCAGTATGGAAAGATACACAAGAGATTTTATATTGTCAGGTATGGGGTAGGAGTCGGGGGAGTCAGAGGCCTAACAGTATATTTAGTATATTCCTATTTGTGAGTTGCCTTTTTTCATAGGAGTAAGAAAATTCTAGAAGGAACAAAAAAATTGTTTAAAGCGATCACCTTTGAGCAGGCTGATGTAAGAAAGTTCTGTTTTTCATTGTATACACTTACGTACTGCTTGAAATTTTTTCTACCGAGTGCATTTTTTTCAATAAACAAAACACTATTTAAAGCCAAATTTCAAAAAAGACCAGTAATAAATTATCTTGCACTGCAGAAAAACCTATGGCGTTGAAATCAGAAACATAGTTCAAACTATCAAAACTGAACTACAGTTTCATCTTATTAGTCATCAATTTTTTTAGAAGATACAAATTCCCTGACGCATAATATTCTACATCACATGTCTTTCTCCATTTCAGGTAAACCTGAGCCTATTTACACACTCTTGGGGTTTTCCAAATGTTAACCATACACAGAAAAAACAGGGTTCAAATGGAAAAAAACAAACACGTGACCTGATTCCTATGAGTTGGTTTAATGACTGACACTCATTTTGGCACTGATCATGATCTCAAATGGAACAAACAGTCCACATCATTATTCCTGTTTCACTGACACTATAATTCCCAGAATGAATATATTTTAGAACTAGCAGGAAGTAACAATATGGAAAAAAAGCATTAATCTTCTTCAGGCTTATCTTAAAATATTCTATCAAAGCCAACAAACCAGAATCATAAAAAAACAAACAAACAACAACTATAAAACTATTGCACCTAAAGAATGTCACTGTTTCTTTAAGTCTTCTTCTCTAAGCTTTCAAAAATATACCTAAATATACCAATACAAATGCATACAGGGTCATATATATATGTAAATATATATACACACACATATAATTTCACCAATACAAATGTAAAACTTAAGTTATTTCTCATTTTCCTTATGCTATTTTCCTCCTTACTATTACAACCCTGACACTAAAATTTGTCCCTGTAGATAAAATTCTAATGTTATCAGAACCATAACACATAATTTTCCCAATAAATTTTGGATAAGAATTTTTAAAAAGTCAACCACATCTACTGAAATGCAAATAATTCCTTAACTGGTTTTGGTAGCACGACCCCAGGCTTAGATAGATGCATGATCAGAGAGTTGATTTTCTACAATTGTTAGTGAGTCGTGCTTCGATTCTGCCAATAGAGAAAGGACAGAAAACCTTGCTGTACCTATGAGTTCCCTCTTCTCAGAAGAGGTGCAAAAACATTGCAATAGATTTTCCCCAGATATCTGCAGACTGACATTATCAGTTTAAAGTCAAAGACATCCAAAGCAGTGGAAATGCAATGTATTTTTTAAATGCTTTTATATGCCACAAAATTGTAGGGGGGGAAAAAATCATATGATAAATCATTTGTCTTTATATAATTTTCTGTGGAGATCTGAAGTGCTGACATTATTTTATTAAATTTTTACATTTAACTTAAAGCAAGTACTTTCAAAAATTAATACTTTAAGAAAATCAAATCACAAATTTGAAGAAGGGGCCATGGCATCAACATTTACCTGTTGCATCAAATTCAATTGGCTGGCATCTGCGGTGAGAAGACCAATCACACTTGAGGACTTGCCCTCCTTCTACAATCCCAGGCTGGGTAGTATTTGCTTTGGGTGCTCCCACCAGAAGAAACATCCTGCTAAAATAGAAAAGAGAAGATTTTAAAAATGGCTCAAAGCATAAACAATATCTTATGATTTAGGAACAGGAATCATTTTTTTTATATTATCCACAAATATATATATTTTTTAACTATTCACTGAGGTCATAACATTCTTTATTCATCTGGAGCTCTCTTACATACACACATTACTCAATACAGTTTATTCATCCTAAGAACGTATTATAAGGCAACCACAGGATTACAGATCATTTAAAAATTTATGCTGGTCAAATTTAAATAAGTAGTTATTATATGTCAATTATATTTCATTACAGCTGTTAAAAATGTGCCCTGGCTAGAGTCATGGATTTGTTTTGATTTTTGGGGTGTGTGTGTATAGTCTGCTATACATTTTCTATATCCTGAATGAATTTTTTTTTTAATTATTCCAAATAAATAATTCTGAATTATGGTAGTTCTAAATATTATCATTTTTCCATTTGTAAAGCTTGCTTGTTTTATAACTACTGTACTTCAATTCTTTCAAAAAAATAGTGACTAACAAATTTCTTCTCACAAAATTAATCTGATCAATGCCTGGTCAAAGAACAGGATGACTATTCAATTTCTTAAAAATTCTCGGAAGTAATCAGGAGTCAAACTTTTAAGTAAAAGAGATCTTGTCTTTAGTTCCTTACTACTGTGGAGGAAAAAAGGGGCTTTACAATAATTTGACAAGTCCAGTGACCAAAGGCACACTTCACAGGATGATCTATTCATAAATTCTCAACTGGGCAGGTGATGGTGACAGGCACGCCCCAGTCAGATAACTTCTTTAGTAAAAGGTTTATCTGTCCCTTAAGCAAGCCCTGTCCATTGCTTTTGGGCATCTAGGATAACGCCCTTGAAATGTCCCCTTTCAGACACTTTGGAATGCAAACCACTCTCAAGAGAGCACATAATCTTTTTAACTACCTTGTAATCCAATCCCTGCCTTGCTTTCTCCCACGTACAAGTAATCTTCTTTATTTCCCTACTAATTTAAAATGCATAAAAAGAGCTGCAAACTGCCAATCTAGGAAGTATTTTACTCAGTCTGTTGAGATCTTGCTTCCAGGTATATGCTCTGTTTGGCTCAAGTAAATATTTATAAAAATTCTCTACAGGTTTGGATGTTCTTAGCTGGGCAATCTTAAACATGAAATGCATTCATTTTAACTTTTTTGTTGCTGCTACTGTTGTTTCATAAGTAAAAAAAGAGATAAAGAACCTCTATTTATATAAAATTTCACCCCTCCCATTCCACCCTCCTCAGCAAATGCACATTTTAACTTTTGCTTGTCAATGTCAATTTCTTTTCCTATGGGTGGTATCTGCCAGGTCATGTTTAGAGCGCTAAAGAGCTGGCTGCATGAACTGCGGCTGCATTATGAAAATCCTGCTCTCTGACATTCATCTGGAACTCCACACTCAAAATAGACAAAACTCCCAACTAAACCACACCCTGTTTAATAAAGCTTTATGCAGTCATATTTGGCTTTAGTAAAACACCAATGCTGGCACTCTCTCATCACAGACAAACGACTGGGTAAGAAATCAACTTAGTTTTCATTCAGAACCTTCCATTAAAAAAATCAGACTATGAATAGAGCCCTCACCCCTCCCTCCTGCTTTCCTACAGCATAGCTCGGTAAGAGCTTAATTTTGTATATTAGAAAAATTTTATTTCAACAGGGAAATAACGTACCACAAAACTTCCCCTCTTCATGTGAAGTGAGTTATTTTTGAGTGCATGATGGGGGAAAAGAACATTTTGGACAAGTGTAAAAAGGAGGGACATTCCTGCAATAGGCCTAATAAACGTGATACAAGCACAGGTATGCCTATGACTTCAGTGTTGTGGATAATGGCCACGTTTCCAGAGATCAGGGCAGGAGAGACGGTTCTCAGAATATGCCTAAAAACCTACAGGCAAAATTCATTTCTGGACTGTCATCACATACCAGGTTACACAACCTTTTACAATTTTTTATCAAAGCTATTCTTCCCAGTTTACAATAAATTACTTCCTTGAATGAAGAGGACTCTAATTCATCTTTGTACCTGCCACATAATAAGCACTCTAGAAAAGTTTTTTAAACTGACAGCTGAGTAGCAAGTACATTTGATAGCTATAGGTGTCAAACTTAAAATAGCCATACGTAAATAAGCCATTTCCACCATCCCCAACACCTCCACAATATGAAGAAATGGTCTTCTAATAAACAATCAATTATTTAAGTTATTAGTGAAGTTTTTTATTTTGGGTTTCAGATACTTTCTTTACTTGGCACTGTAAGTCAGAGAGGGCTGGGAAGTTATTAGGGGACTGAGTTCTGAATGAAAATTGCAGCCTGAGTTCCTTGGATAAGACCAAGAACAAGGCTGCTTTTCATCAGACCATTTGCACATTATAGGCATGAAATGATGGTAATTAGATGTACTAATATGGGTGTTCATCAAGTTTCCTAAGCATACCTTCATGAGCAGTCTTGCACACTGGTGAAATACTACAGAAATGCGAGAATAACAGAAAAGGAATGTGTGAGCACTGTCAGTTCCTAAATGCTAGGTTAATGGGGCAAAAGAAGCTGAGGAATAAAGTTCTTTGTCTAAAATGTCAACATGTTATTTAAGTAACTTTTAAGAGTATTACAGAAAGTTTTTAAAAGAGAAAAATGGAGAGATGGAGAAAGTAAAATTACCTCAGACAAATGTTAAAGTCTTAAGAGGGAGCTGTGTAGAGAAAAATTAAATGTTTGTATAGAACAAAGGACATAGGATGGTAAAAGAAGCTGAGAAAATGAAGGACTATCAAAACAACGCAAATTACAGAGAACAAAAGCCCATTAATGTGTTGGGAGGGTGAATCTTATGTCATGTGTTTTTTGACACAGTAACAAAAAAAGCCTGTTAATGAAACACTTTATAGGAAATTAAATAATTGTCACTTGAAGTTCATCCAAGAATATCTAATGAGTGTCTACAACAGTTTAATTAGGGTAACAGAAGCGACAGACCAGAAAAAAATGTTTGCAATACAAGGAGCATTGTCTAAGGGACACAGTTTGGGACTAAAAGTTACAATCATGATATAAATCAATTGAGAAAGTCATTTTAAATCTCTGAGTCTCAGTTTCCTACAATGCCAGCTGTAATTAACTACAAAATAAATGTTCAGAATGTGGATAGTAGCTAAAAGCACATTAGAATATCTGAAAGCATCATAAAAACACAAGATGATGGCATCAAAATTGAAGTAATGATTAATAAAATACTCCCTAATAAAATAGGAAATATAAAAGTTAAAATCTAGTTTTAAAAGGGCTTCACTTTCCTTGGTTTTCTAGAAGGGCCATTCATTAACTCAAATGCAAAATCTCAAGGAGAAAAGAAGAAGAAGGGTAGGAAATAGCGGGCTTGCAACATTTCCTGACAATGGAGAGGGGAGAGATACACAGGGTTAATTGTGGCTGACAGAGATTTTACGGATTAGCAGTAAAATCTGGAGCTCAGCCATTTAGCCGGCAACTCTCTCCCCACAGACTCCATCCCCTCCAAAAAGTCTGCCCAAGAACAGTATTAGGATCCCCATGCTCACCATTCTTTTTATTTTTTTATTTTTATTTTTTTTTAAATATATCTTTATTGATCTCAGAGAGAGGAAAGGAGAGGGAGAGATAGAGGTAGAAACATCAATGATGAGAGAGTCATTGATCGGCTAGCCCTCAACCCGGGCACGTGCCCTGACCGGGAATCGAACCCCGATCGCCTGGAGGTCGAGGCTCAACCACTGAGCCACGCCGGGCCGGGCACCATTCTTTTTAAATGACTTGAGACATTTCCATTAAATGACTTCAGAACTAAGGTGTTCGCACAGGAGCAGGATGTTAATATCAGGCCCTGAAATTCTAAAAGATAAAGGGCAGAGTGTGTGCTTGGGGTT